CGGCGTACAATCCGTTTGTATATAGTGCTCGGATGAAAACCGTAATACTTACTTTTAACCATTTCTACCCACCAACAATAAAAAATGATACAGGGACGGTTTATCTGTACTTTTAGGCAGTATAAGTGATAATCGGTTAATATACATGTTTATACCTTAATAATCGTATAATTAATCAATAATGGCATAACATAATTCATTAAGATAAAATGCACAAGAAATAGCCGCAGAATAACACACCAAAGGCCGTACAAACGTAAGCCGAACAAGAAGACAGCGACACTTACCACAAACCAAACACTAATGAGGTGTCTAAGTTGGCGACTGGATGCCATATTTTTTGTTGTTTGGCATCGGTGAATATAGATCACTCATTATGGCCAACTATGAGATTTCCTAGGATTTATTAGATTATTTGTTGTTTATTATGATAAGGGTAGTACGTTTTTATATATAAATGGTCATTTAAACCATTAAGGGAATTGTTGAGTATTTCTGTAAAATAGATATGGCCATGGCCGCGTTTGCCCAAGTCTAACCACACCAAGTGGGCGCGGCCATGTGTTGGCAGGGGGGCGGGGGACGGGGTGATATCCGCTGCCCCCGTTGCTTATGCTGGTAGGGTGTCCTTGAAGCCTGTGTTTTGCGAGCGTGTTATCGAACCACAAGACGTATTTAGAAGTTTTTAAAATTGAAAAACATTTCGAGATAATATTTACGTTTGTGACGTTCCGCGGAGATAAGAACGTTGCGATAGATATTTTGATTTTGAGAATACATGCGACCGCTATTGTCGCAAACGTTATTATTAGAGATTTTCCATGTGAGTAGACAGATATAATTTAAAATGCTCTTCGGCAACGTCATCAGTCTCTTTGACGCATTCGTCATTTACACTGATAAGATGTAATTCAGTATCTGTCGGGTGTGCTAAAAGAACGTGAAAATATCGACTGATGACACTGTAGATTTATCCACAAGTAGAATCGAACCCGTATCACTTATCTCCTTAGGCGACAGATTTGAAATGCATGAGTGGCTCGCACATGGTTTTCGGCTTATAAAGCAGAGACGGTGAACATTTTGAAAATTTGCCATAAACGGATTAGTAGAGGCATAAAGGTTTTGCCGGTGTTTTATTTCTTAACGTTTTCATATTTCTAAGAATATCTTTGGTGATAATCGTAAATGCCTGTTAAAAAGCAAAAAGTGCAATCAATAACTTTGGATTTTGCCATTTGGGATTACTAAGATTTTAATTATTCTCAACATATACTACATTTATCCAAAAACGATGATATACATTAGAGCTTCTACTACGCCATTGAGCTAACGATCTTGGAGGTATTTGGCCAAAGCACATATTGTAGAAAATCATTAGCGCATTTTGATTTGATGATTCTGCTCGGCTTTCTGCTTTCGTCAATCCATCAGGACTAATCTACAAAGGAGTCATCTTGCCATAGATGATGACATTTAGTTTTCCGAAATACTGAATATGTTTAAAACATCCGTATGCGATAGAGGACTTTCCGTTTCCCCTACGTAACTACAAATTGCGCATTTCCATACTTAGAACAGAATTTGCTATGGACGTGATAGTCCTTTTGAAAGTCACTCTGTGCACACTGTGCTATGTTTAGTATCCATAGCTTTCGCTCGCGGACGGCGCTCACTAAACGTCCACGCTCATAATGTGTAAACGTTTTTTAACTATTCAATTAGCAATTTTGAGTGACAATTCTTTTAGATTATGTCTTTCTAAATATTTCTTCGGTCTGCTGGTTTCATTTGAAAGCAATCTCGAGTTAAAACGTCCATTCGAAATCGTCTAGATGCTTTCAAACGAGTCAGCTAAAGGCTAACTTTAGGTGCTTCTTCCCAGTCAAATGAACCATTGATGAGACATATGAAGATTGCAGCTT